ACCTTGCGGGCGAGGTTCCTGACCCGCCTGCGAGCTGCGAGGCGGGGGTGATTTTTCTCTCTCTTCGGCCTGGGGACGAGGCCTGGCTGTTAGGGGGTTCTGGGGCCAGGAGGTTTCTCCCCGGTGAGGGCGTCCACCCTGAGGGGAGGCCTTAACCGGTTTCGGGGCAGGATGCCGAGGTGGAAGCAGTGACTGGTTCAAGGGTAGTTGGGGGAACTGCTGCTGATAATGATGTTGGGAGATGTTGTGCAGTACTTGGTGCTGTTGGAGCTGGTGTTGGTGGAATTGTTGCATTTGGGCTTGCATTGCCCGCATGCATTGCATTAGGTCATCCAACCGGTTTTGGCCGGTTGCCAGGGGGACGGCAGTTGGTTCAGTGAAGGTTGTCTCGATCGGGAGAGGAAAGGGGATGCTCATGGCAGGAAGGTTTACGGGCGCCACTGCTTGTGGCGCATTCAAGCTAGGGATCCCATCCACTGAAAGGGGGATGGTGAACTGTCCGACGCACACCACGAGGACTTGAAGTTGTTCCCCAGTGGTGTTTGTCTTCGTGCCACGTCCGGCGTTGCTGGAAGAAGCCATGAGTGTTGGGGTTTTTGAAGGAAAGAGGTTATGAGAGTTTAGAGGGAGGCTTTTAGAAGCGTTCCCACAGACGGCGCCAATTGATGGGACGCAATCCGGCTGGTCCTAGCTGTCAACAACCTTGCCTCTGAACGGAGCTACAGGGAGCCTGAAACAGAGAAGATGAGGAATCTCCAGGGGGAACCCGGTATGACTACTCCGAAGCTCAAGTTAGAATTCTTTCAAAGGCAAGATAAAACCAGATGGCGCAAAGTTCACGTACCTTGTTCTTGGGGGTAGGGAGCCTTTTGTAGCCACCTCGTGCACTCACTCCTAAGCTTCTGTCAGGTCGGGTACGATTACCTCTGGTCTCTTGCCAGTTCGGGTGTCATCCCCTCTGCTGGTCAGAACCGCCACTGCTCCCTTTTGTCGGAGCCGTCTCTGCGACTGGCGATGACGGTGGCAGGTGGCTATGGTAGGTGACCGTTGAAGTAAGGCTGTCAAGCGTCAGATCCCAAGTCAGTCAGATGCGCCGCCCTTGGATACGGACCTCCTCGGAGTCAG